CCATACACCTTCCACTTCTTAATAATGGTCTTAACTGTGCGCCGAGGGATAGACAAAGTCTTTGAAATATTTTTATATCCATCCCCAACTTTATCTCATCGATCTTTTGAAAGTACCTTTCCGCCCACAGTGGATTCTTTGCTTTGAATTGCACTACTAAGCAGTGGAGTCCTCCATGAACAACTGCTTTTATTCTGAACTACTTAAAGTCACTACAAGTGATCACAGATGGAAGCCAATATGCTTGATTTTTGATCTGGAAGGTGGTTGGTTATACCTCAGCAAGTTTGCAATTGCAATTCTAAGGGGGGGGGGTGTTCACTTATCCACATAGGGTATTTTACTGTTTTACTTGTAATACATTTTGTTTTCTCACTTGGATATTGTGGGTTACTGTGTGTAAATAAAGTCTAATTTTATGTGTTTTCATTTCAGGCTGTAAGGCAACAAAAGGTGAATATTTTGAAAGGGGGTGGTGACTTTCTATACCCACTGTACTTGTCCGGTCTGTGTTTATTTTACGCCTGCTACGTGAGGTGACATAGCTGTTGCTTTGCGAGGTATCTCTACCTGAAAATACATTATCTAAGTGATTGGATAGTTGGTATTCAGCAGTCATAAAAGTATGCCTTTTTTCAGGGATCATCAACTAGATTCAACCAGGGGTGATTTTAAATTTTTCTTGAGCAGATGGTCGTGGGGTGGGACATAATTACAAATAATTTGTAGACTGCAAATTGACCGCAAGAAGCCCAAACCGATATCATGTTTGACTAAAATAATAATTTCAAACCTTGCATACGATCATGTCGTGTCTCTCTATAATGTGTGGGAATACTTGGAAACAGATTTCTTAAATTAAAATCAATTGGAGCTGATTTCCTGGTGTTTTTTACAGTCTTTTATGTCCAACAATGAAAATTCCACCCGACCCCCAAAATATGTATATATTTTGTTTTTACTCAGAAAACTTGGGGGGCCAAATAAAACCACCGCCAGTTGGGGAACCCTGCCTTACTTACTTTGAAGAACTACAAAATAGTAATTTTGTCAGCCAGCATAGGCAGCAGCTCTATAGAGATGAGATGATGACTTTGAATGAAATAATAAATAAAACAAATGTAATATACACAACTGAAATATTTTATTAAAGTAATGTGAATAAATTATGGTTGATAAGTGATGGGCAGTCACTACCATCATGGGACTTTTATTAATTGTTTATTCTGTGTTGTTACAGCATTCAACCCACATAATGCAAAGTGCATTTAATGTTGTTGTTTTTTTCAAATCAAAACTGAAAAAACAACGGCCTCCCGAGTGGCGCAGCGGTCTAAGGCACTGCATCGCAGTGTTAGATGCGTCACTACAGACCCAGGTTCGATCCCAGGCTGTGTCGCAGCCGGCTGCGACCGGGAGACCCATGAGGCGGCGCACAATTGGCCCAGCGTCGTCCAGGTTAGGGAAGGGTTTGGCTGGCCAGGATGTCCCTGTTCCATCACACTCTAGCTGACTTCGGTTGCCAGCTGTACGGTGTTTCCTCCAACACATTGGTGCGGCTGGCTTCCGGGTTAAGCGAGCAGTGTGTCAAGAAGCAGTGCGGCTTGGCGGGGTCGTGTTTCGGGGGACGTATGGCTCTCGACCTTCGCCTCTCCCGAGTCCGTATGTGAGTTGCAGCGATGGGACAAGACTGTAACTACCAATTGGGGAGAAAAAGGTGGTAAAAAGTAATTTTTTACGAAAACTGTGATATCTTTAAAATAATTGTAGCAAAACCGAACCGACCTCAAAAAGCACTAATCGCTCAGCACTAGGCCAGAGCAAGGAGTCTGGGTAGCCAGACAATAACTGTCACGAACGTCTTCCAAATGAGTAGACCAAAGCGCAGCGCGTTGAGCGAACATGACTTTATTAATTCAAAGTCTGGAACAAAACAACAAAACAAGAACGATTCGTGAAGTCCTCTGCAATACTGACAGAACATGGAACAAAAACCCACAACACCCAAAGGAAAACATACAGATAAATATGGCTCCCAATCAGAGATAACGAGCCGACAGCTGACACTCGTTACCTCCGATTGGGAGTCACATGACTACACAAGAACTAACCAAAACCACACACACCCAAATGAACACACCCTATTCCCAACCTAACCAAAACAAACCCCAACAACACGAATACACCCTGGCTCAAATACAAGTCCCGGAGCCAGAGTGTGACAGTACCCCCCCCTAAAGGCGCGGACTGCGACCGCGCCTCAACTAGGGCTAACCAAGGGAGGGCTGGGTGGGCATACCTCTTCGGCGGTGGTTCTGGCTCTGGTCGTGGTCCCCACCCCACCATAGTCACTACCCGCTTCCGTAGCCTCCTCCAACTGACCACCCTCCAACTTAACCCCACCGGATAAAGGGGCAGCACCGGACTAAGAGGCAGCACCGGACTAAGGGGCAGCACCGGACTAAGGGGCAGCACCAGGATAAGGGGCAGCACCAGACTAAGGGGCAGCACCGGACTAAGGGGCAGCACCGGACTGAATGGCGGATCCTGGCTGGCTGGCTCTGGCGGATCCTGGCTGGCTGGCGGACCCCGGCTGGACGGCTCTGGCGGATCCTGGCTGGACGGCTCATGGCTGGCTGACGGATCTGGCTGCTCATGGCTGGCTGACGGATCTGGCTGCTCATGGCTGGCTGACGGATCTGGCTGCTCATGGCAGGCTGACGAATCTGGCTGCTCATGGCAGGCTGACGGATCTGGCTGATCCTGTCTGGCGGAAGGCTCTGGCTGATCCTGTCTGGCGGAAGGCTCTGGCTGATCCTGTCTGGCGGAAGGCTCTGGCTGATCCTGTCTGGCGGAAGGCTCTGGCTGATCCTGTCTGGCGGAAGGCTCTGGCTGATCCTGTCTGGCGGAAGGCTCTGGCTGATCCTGTCTGGCGGAAGGCTCTGGCTGATCCTGTCTGGCGGAAGGCTTTAGCGGCTCCGGTCTGGCGGACGGCTCTGAAGGCTCATGTCAGACGGGCGGCTTTGCAGGCTCAGTACAGACGGGCAGTTCATGCAGCGCTTGGCAGACGGACAGTTCAGACGGCGTTGGGCAGACAGGCAGTTCAGGCGCCGTTGGGCAGACGGGCAGTTCAGGCGCCGTTGGGCAGACGGGCAGTTCAGGCGCCGTTGGGCAGACGGCAGACTCTGGCCGGCCGAGACGCACTATAGGCCTGGTGCGTGGTGCCGGAACTGGTGGTCCCGGGCTGAGGACACGCATCTCAGGGCTAGTGCGGGGAGCAGCAACAGGACGCACAGGACTCTGGGGACACACAGGAGGCTTGGTGCGTGGTGTAGGCACTGGTGGTACTGGGCTGGAGCGGGGAGGTGGCGCCGGAAATACCGGACCGTGCAGGCTTACTGGCTCCCTTGAGCACTGAGCCTGCCCAACCTTACCTGGTTGTATGCTCCCCGTCGCCCGACCAGTACGGGAAGGAGGAATAACCCGCACCGGGCTATGTAGGCGAACCGGGGACACCATGCGTAAGGCTGGTGCCATGTAAGCCGGCCCGAGGAGACGCACTGGTGGCCTGATGCGTTGGGCCGGCTTCATGACATCCGGCTCAACGCTCAATCTAGCCCGGCCGATACGTGGAGCTGGAATGTACCGAACCGGGCTATGCACGCGTACAGGAGACACCATGCGCTCTACTGCGTAACACGGTGTCTGCCCGTACTCTCGCTCTCCACGGTAAGTACAGGGAGTAGGCGCAGGTCTCCTACCTGACTTCGCCACACTCCCTTTAAGGCCCCCCCCCAAGAAATGTTTGGCTAGTGCTCACGGGCTTCCAGCCTTGCCTCTGTGCTGCCTCCTCATATTGCCTCCTCTCGGCTTTAGCTGCCTCCAGCTCTTCACGAGGGCGGCGATATTCTCCCGGTTGTGCCCAAGGACCCCTTCCATCCAGTATCTCCTCCCATGTCCATGAATCCTGTGTAGGTGGATCCTGTTGCCGCTTGACACGCCGCTTGGTCCTAGAATGGTGGGTTTTTCTGTCACGAACGTCTTCCAAATGAGTAGACCAAAGCGCAGCGCGTTGAGCGAACATGACTTTATTAATTCAAAGTCTGGAACAAAACAACAAAACAAGAACGATTCGTGAAGTCCTCTGCAATACTGACAGAACATGGAACAAAAACCCACAACACCCAAAGGAAAACATACAGATAAATATGGCTCCCAATCAGAGATAACGAGCCGACAGCTGACACTCGTTACCTCCGATTGGGAGTCACATGACTACACAAGAACTAACCAAAACCACACACACCCAAATGAACACACCCTATTCCCAACCTAACCAAAACAAACCCCAACAACACGAATACACCCTGGCTCAAATACAAGTCCCGGAGCCAGAGTGTGACAATAACTTTCCTGCAATGCACGAAATGTTCAACTTGTAGTGTATTGACAGTTTAAAAAGGCTTCTGAAGTTTGTAATTTCCACTTTGAAATTTCAGACAAAAAATGTATTAACCCCTACAAAAATGTCAATTGGTTATATGTCCACATAATAATTCACATTTCCTGTTGCTGCAGGATTATTGTCCTGCAGTAACAAACTTGCTCAAATTAAGACCAATCAAGTAAAGGTTGGAAGGAAAATGTGCACACTCAGTGATCCATCAAGACCATTGGTACTTTGAGTGAGAAATTAGAGTACCTTTACCCCACAGCAGGCATGTTGAATTTGTTACGTTGGAGACAAGAAGATGATTACTGTCTCCAATTTCAGAGGTCTCCCTTGCCCACGTTGAACTATCCTTCCTTACTATTCTTGAGTATGTTAGTAATTATCAAAGTTATCCAGTTGTAATGCAACATTATGATAAACTGTGATCAGATGCAATACGATCCATCCTAAAACTGATTTACACAGATTACTTAGTTAGAATCTCTAAATAGAGACTGTAATTAACAGTTGAATGTAGCTTGTGTATTTGATGCATCTTTTTGTTCAGTCCGTCTGTCGTCACCCATTTAACTTTGACCCTACCAGGGCCATTGTCCACATCCAAGTGAATGACGTCAACGAGTATTCGCCCGTGTTCAAGGAGAAGTCATACAAAGCCACGGTCATCGAGGGCAAGAAGTATGATAGCATCCTAAAGGTGGAGGCGGTGGACGCCGACTGCTCATTCCAGTTCAGCCAGATCTGCAGCTACGCAATCGTCACCCCCGATGTGCCCTTCATCGTCGACAAAGACGGTAAGGACCCCAAACGGCTTCACATTTTTCATTGATCTCGGTAAACATTAAGGCCATCATTTTGAAAACACTTTGCCTTTGAAGTGGAGGCTTGCACTTGCCAATCTCTGTATTATGATGATTACTTGCGTGTCTACAGTGCCTTCGGAAAGTATTCATACCCCTTGACGTATTCCACATTTTGTTGTTACAGCCTGAATTCAAAATTGATTAAATACAGTGGGGAAAAAAGTATTTAGTCAGCCACCAATTGTGCAAGTTCTCCCACTTAAAAAGATGAGAGAGGCCTGTAATTTTCATCATAGGTACACGTCAACTATGACAGACAAATTGAGAAAGAAAAATCCAGAAAATCACATTGTAGGATTTTTAATGAATTTATTTGCAAATTATGGTGGAAAATAAGTATTTGGTCACCTACAAACAAGCAAGATTTCTGGCTCTCACAGACCTGTAACTTCTTCTTTAAGAGGCTCCTCTGTCCTCCACTCGTTATCTGTATTAATGGCACCTGTTTGAACTTGTTATCAGTATAAAAGACACCTGTCCACAACCTCAAACAGTCACACTCCAAACTACACTATGGCCAAGATTTTCTGGATTTTTTTTTTCTCATTTTGTCTGTCATAGTTGACGTGTACCTATGATGAAAATTACAGGCCTCTCTCATCTTTTTAAGTGGTAGAACTTGCACAATTGGTGGCTGACTAAATACTTTTTTTCCCCACTGTATATTTTTTCTCTCTCACTAATCTACACACAATACCCCATAATGACAAAGTGAAAACATGTTTTTAGAAATTGTAAGGACATTTATTGAAAATGAAATACTGAAATATCTAATTGACGTAAGTATCCCTGAGTCAATACTTTGTAGAAGCACTTTTGGCAACGATTACAGCTGTGAGTCTTTCTAGGTAAGTCTCTAAGAGCTTTCCACACCTGGATTGTGCAACATTTGCCCATTATTCTTAAAACAATTATTCAAGCTCTGTCAAATTGGTTGTTGATCATTGCTAGACAACCATTTTCAGGTCTTGCCATAGATTTTTTGAAGTAGATTTGAGTCAAAATTGGAACTCGGCCACTGAGAAACATTCACTATCTTCTTGGTAAGCAACTCCAGTGTAGATTTGGCCTTGTGTTTTAGGTTATTGTCCTGCTGAAAGATGAATTCATCTCCCAGTGTCTGTTGGAAAGCAGACTGAACCAGGTTTTCCTCTAGGATTTTCCCTATGCTTAGCTTCACTCTGTTTCTTTTTTATCCTTAAAAACTCCCCAATCCTTAACAATTACAAGCATTCCCATAACATGATGCTGCCACCACAGAGATGAGGTAATCATTCATAAATCAAGGTAAACACTATTATTGCACACAGTGAGACCATGCAACTAATTCTGCGATTTGTAAAGCACATTTTTACTCCTCAACTTATTTAGGCATGCAATAACAAAGGGGTTGAATACTTATTGACCCAAAACATTTCAACTTTTCATTTTTAATTAATTAAAAACAATTAAAAACCAAAAAAACATAATTCCACTTTGACATTGTAGGGTATTGACACACAATCTCAATTTAATCCATTTTAAATTCAGGCTGTAACACAACAAAATATGGAAAAAGTCAAGTGGTATGAGTACTTTCTGAAGGCACTGTATATCCGATTTTAAAAGGTTGTGCAATGTTTACCATTGATCTTAGCACACCTGTAGCCTGTTAGCGTTCCGTCAATAAAAAGCTAAAATCACCTAAATTCTTTGTCCCTCCTCCACTCAGGCTTCATCAAGAACACAGAGAAGCTGAACTACAGCAAAGAGCGCATGTACAAGCTGACGGTGACTGCCTACGACTGTGGGAAGAACCGTGCCTCAGAAGATGTCCTGGTCAAGATCAGCATTAAGCCCACCTGCAAGCCCAGCTGGCAAGGTATCAAAGGCCCTCCTCTTTCAGTAACTCCCAAATGGCTTCAGGAACTGTTTGAGTGCATCTATCTATCTGTCCTCCCGAGTGGCGCAGTGGTCTAAGGCACTGCAACGCAGCTAGCTGTGCCACTAGAGATCCTGGTTCGAATCCAGGCTCTGTCGTAGCTGGCGCACAATTGGTCCAGGGTAGGGGAGGGAATGGCCGGCAGGGATGTAGCTCAGTTGGTAGGTTCGATTCCCACGGGGGGGCAGTATGAAAAAATAAAAATAAATAATGTATGCACTAACTGTAAGTCACTCTGGATAAGAGCGTCTGCTAAATGACTAAAATGTAAATGTAAAAATCTAGTCTCTGTGATGAACAGAGGGACTCTGCAAGGATAAATGCAATCATTCAATCCTCAAGTTTTTCCTCTCTTAGCCAGCTTCAGAGTCACTGCCTAATGAATAAACAGAGCATTGACCACAGCTGTCTTTCTCTCTCTCAGGCTTCAACAAGAGGATCGAGTACGAACCTGGCACAGGCAGTCTGGCCCTTTTCCCCAGCATGCACTTGGAGACCTGCGAGGAGACAATCACCTCCATCCAGGTCAACATTGAGCTGGAAACCAATCACATCGGAAAGGGCTGCGACCGAGACACCTACTCCGAGAAGTCGCTGCACAAGCTGTGCGGTGAGAAACCCTAAACTTACAACAAAAACCACCATGATATACAGTACATTCGGAAAGTATTCAGACCCCTTGACTTTTTCCACATTTTTGTTACGTTACAGCCTTATTCTAAAATGGATTTTAAAAAGAACTATTCTCATCAATCTACACACAATACCCTATAATTTATAAATAAAAACCGGAAATATCACATTTACATGAGTATTCAGTCCCTTTACTCAGTACTTTGTTGAAGCACCTTTGGCGGCGATTACAGCCTCGAGTCATCTGGGGTATGACGCTACAAGCTTGGCACACCAGAGATGTTTGATCGGGTTCAAGTCCGGGCTCTGCCTAGGCCATGCAAGGACTCGTCCCGAAGCCACTCCTGCGTTGTCTTGGCTGTGTGCTTAGGGCCGTTGTCCTGTTGGAAGGTGTCTGAGGTCCTGAGCGCTCTGGAGCAGGTTTTCATCAAGGATATCTCTGTACATTGCTCCGTTCATCTTTCCCTCGATCCTGACTAGTCTCCCAGTCCCTGCCGAGTTCAATCTTGGTTTCATCAGACCAGAGAATCTTGTTTCTCATGGTCTGAGAGTCTTTAGGTGCCTTTTGGCAAACTCCAAGCGGGCTGTCATTTGCCTTTTACTGAGGAGTGGCTTCCGTCTGGCCACTCAACCATAAAGGCCTGATTGGTGGAGTGCTGCAGAGATGGTTGTCTTTCTGGAAGGTTCTCCCATCTCCACAGAGGAACTCTGGAGCTCTTTCGGAGTGACCATCGGGTGCTTGGTCACCTCCCTGACCAAGGCCCTTCTCCCCCGATTGCTCAGTTTGGCCGGGCGGCCAGCTCTAGGAAGAGTCTTGGTGGATCCAAACTTCTTCCATTTAAGAATAATGGAGGCCACTGTGTTCTTGGGGACCTTCAATGCTGCTGAATTGTTTTGGTACCCTTCCCCAGATCTGTGCCTCAACACAATCCTGTCTCGGAGCTCTACGGACAATTCATTCGACCTCATGGCTTGGTTTTTGCTCTGACATGCACTGTCAACTGTGGGACCTTATATAGACAGGTGTGTGCCTTTCCAAATCATGTCCAATGAATTGAATTTACCACAAGTGGACTCCAATCAAGTTGTAGAAACACCTCAAGGATGATCAATGGAAACAGGATGCACCTGAGCTCAATTTCGAGTCTCATAGCAAAGGGTCTGAATACCTATGTAAATAAAGTATTTCTGTTTTTGTATTTTTAATAAATTAGCTAACTTTTCTAAAAACCTGTTTTCGTTTTGTCATTATAGGGTATTGTGTGTAGATTGAGGGAAAAAATGAATTTAATCAATTTTAGAATATAAATGTGGATAAGGTCAAGGGGTCTGAATACTTTCCGAAGGCACTGTACTGTAGCTCAGAGCATGTATCTCTGCCAAACAAGCAATGTGCCATACAATATCCATTCCTCGTAATGCAGTCCCATTCCAAGATAACCTACCCAAAGTGGATTTGATTTGATGATTTTTTTTTTTTTTACCCGGTGAAAACGTGTCATCGCTTTTCCAATCTGTAGCATTGTGTATTTGTGTCTAAACCTGGAATTCTGTGTGTATGTTTGTCTTTCTCAGGTGCCAGTGCTGGCACGGTGGAACTACTGCCTGCGCCCAGCAGCTCTGCCAACTGGACTGTAGGTCTGCCCACGGATAACGGACATGACAGCCACCAGGTGTTTGAGTTCAACGGCACGCAGGCCATCAAGGTGCCCGAGGGCGTGGTGAACACCAGCCTGAAGGAGCCCTTCACCATCTCAGTGTGGATGAGGCACGGCCCCGGGGCCAGGGAGAAGGAGACCATCCTCTGTAACTCGGACAAAACAGGTACACTACCCTCACAGTAATACATACCAAATCCAAATGCAATACATACCAAATCTAGGTCAATGTGCTGCAGACCTGGCTTCAAATACTATTTGAAATATTTTATATAGTTTAAGTGTTTGCTTCAGTCTGACTGGAGTGCTAGGTGGGAGGGGTTTGTACTTTTGCTGCAATTTTATTGGTTCCATTGTGCTGATATCCTGAAATGATCATCTTAACCTTATCAGCTGTATTTTGTATATTGTTTTAGTATTTTATTCCAGATCCCCATTAGCTGCTGCTAATCATAATTTCATACAATAGAACAATAACACAACACATTAGTACACACTACTCTACCATAACATATCTACAATACAAAATCAATAATACATGAAAATAACTAAATAATTAAAATGCTGTGTGTGTGTCTCTTCACAGTCCGTGCTGTTCCATAACTTGCAGTTTTATCAGTTTTTTAAATCTGATTTTACTGCTTGACTGAGTTACATGATGTGGAATAAAGTTCCATGTAATCATGGCTCTATGTAGTACTGTGCATTTCCCATAGTCTGTTCTGGACTTGGGGACTGTGAAGAGACCTCTTGTGGCATGTCTTGTGGGGTATGCATGGGTGTCTGAGCTGTGCGCTAGTCGCTTAAACAGACAGCTCATTGATTTCAGCATGTCAATACCTCTCACAAAGACAAGCAGTGATGCAGTCAATCTCTCCTCCACCCTGAGCCAGGAGAGATTGACATGCATATTATCAATGCTGGCTCTCTGTGGACATCCAAGGGCCAGCCGTGCTACTCTGTTCTTGGCCAATTGTAATTTGCCTATGTCCCTCTTTGTGGCACTTGACCATATGACTGGACAGTGCGACAACAGTAGGGCCAGTAGGACTTGTTTTGTTGATAGCGATGTCAAGAAAGCAGAGCGGTGCTTTATTATGGACAGACCTCTCCCCATTTTAGCTACCGTTGCATCACTATGTTTTGACCATGACAGTTTACAATCCAGGGTTACACCAAGCAGTTTAGTCTCCTCAACATGCTCAATTTCCACATTATTCATTACAAGATTTAGTTTAGGTTTAGTGAATGATTTGTCCCAAATGCAATGCTTTTAGTTTTTGAAATATTTAGGACCAGTTTATTTCTTGCCACCCAGTTTGAAACTGACTGCAGCTCTTTGTTAAGTGTTGCAGTGATTTCACTTTCTGTGGTAGCTGTTGATTCATTAGCATACATAGACACAAACGCTTTACTCAGTGCCAGGTCATTAGTAAAGATTGAAAAAAGTAAGGGGCCTAGACCGCTGCCTTGGGGAATGCCTGACTCTACCTGGATTATGTTGGAAAGGCTTCCATTCAAGAACACCCTCTGTGTTCTGTTAGACAGGTAACTCTCGATCCACAATATAGCAGGGGATGTAAAGCCATAACACATACGTTTTTCCAGCAGTAGATTATGATCAATAATGTCAAAAGCTGCACTGAAGTCTAACAAAACAGCTCCCACAATCTTCTTATCAATTTCTCTCAGCCAATCATCAATCATTTGTGTAAGTTCCATAAATGTTGAATGCCCTTCCCTGTTCTTGGGTAGCGGAATGACTTTTTCCCTTCAGGCCTGAGGGCACACACTTTCCTATATGCTTAGATTGAAGAGATGGCAAATAGGTGTGGCAAGTCTGCTATCATCCTCAGTAATTTTCCATCCAAGTTGTCAGACCCAGGTGGCTGATAGACAACAATGTTTTCACCTCTTCCGCACTCACTTTATGGAATTCAAAATTACAATGCTTGCCTTTCATATACAGTGGGGAAAAAAAGTATTTAGTCAGCAACCAATTGTGCAAGTTCTCCCACTTAAAAAGATGAGAGAGGCCTGTAATTTTCATCATAGGTACACGTCAACTATGACAGACAAATTGAGAAAAATGTTTCCAGAAAATCACATTGTAGGATTTTTTATGAATTTATTTGCAAATTATGGTGGAAAATAAGTATTTGGTCACCTACAAACAAGCAAGATTTCTGGCTCTCACAGACCTGTAACTTCTTCTTTAAGAGGCTCCTCTGTCCTCCACTCGTTACCCGTATTAATGGCACCTGTTTGAACTTGATATCAGTATAAAAGACACCTGTCCACAACCTCAAACAGTCATACTCCAAACTCCACTATGGCCAAGACCAAAGAGCTGTCAAAGGACACCAGAAACAAAATTGTAGACCTGCACCAGGCTGGGAAGACTGAATCTGCAATAGGTAAGCAGCTTGGTTTGAAGAAATCAACTGTGGGAGCAATTATTAGGAAATTGAAGACATACAAGACCACTGATAATCTCCCTCGATCTGGGGCTCCACGCAAGATCTCACCCCGTGGGATCAAAATGATCACAAGAACGGTGAGCAAAAATCCCAGAACCACACGGGGGGACCTAGTGAATGACCTGCAGAGAGCTGGGACCAAAGTAACAAAGCCTACAATCAGTAACACACTACGCCGCCAGGGACTCAAATCCTGCAGTGCAAGACGTGTCCCCCTGCTTAAGCCAGTACATGTCCAGGCCCGTCTGAAGTTTGCTAGAGTGCATTTGGATGATCCAGAAGAGGATTGGGAGAATGTCATATGGTCAGATGAAACCAAAATATAACTTTTTGGTAAAAACTCAACTCGTCGTGTTTGGAGGACAAAGAATGCTGAGGTGCATCCAAAGAACACCATACCTACTGTGAAGCATGGGGGTGGAAACATCATGTTTTGGGGCTGTTTTTCTGCAAAGGGACCAGGACGACTGATCCGTGTAAAGGAAAGAATGAATGGGGCCATGTATCGTGAGATTTTGAGTGAAAACCTCCTTCTATCAGCAAGGGCATTGAAGATGAAACGTGGCTGGGTCTTTCAGCATGACAATGATCCCAATCACACCGCCCGGGCAACGAAGGAGTGGCTTTGTAAGAAGCATTTCAAGGTCCTGGAGTGGCCTAGCCAGTCTCCAGATCTCTACCCCATAGAAAATCTTTGGAGGGAGTTGAAAGTCTGTGTTGCCCAGCGACAGCCCCAAAACATCACTGCTCTAGAGGAGATCTGCATGGAGGAATGGGCCAAAATACCAGCAACAGTGTGTGAAAACCTTGTGAAGACTTACAGAAAACGTTTGACCTGTGTCATTGCCAACAAAGGGTATATAACAAAGTATTGAGAAACTTTTGTTATTGACCAAATACTTATTTTCCACCATAATTTGCAAATAAATTCAATAAATATCCTACAATGTGATTTTCTGGATTTTTTTTCCCTCATTTTTTCTGTCATAGTTGACGTGTACCTATGATGAAAATTACAGGCCTCTCTCATCTTTTTAAGTGGGAGAACATGCACAATTGGTGGCTGACTAAATACTTTTTTTCCCCACTGTATAATTTGGTCATTTAGGTATGGTTGTGTAGGTTGAGAATTTGTTGTTGTCATGTGATGCCTAAGTTTGCTAATCTTGCCAATGAAAAAATCATTAAAGAAGTTGGCAATATCAGTGGGTTTTGTGATAAATGAGCCATCTAATTCAATTAATGATGGAGCCGATTTCGCCTTTTGCGCCAAAGCTCTATATAATTTATTTTTGATTCATAGTACATTTTCTTCTTTTTTTTTGGTTAAGTTTAGTTACATGATTTCTCAGTTTACAGTACGTTTGTCAATCGTGCCAACCGGGATTTCTGGAAAGTTTGGGAATATTGGGAAAGTTACCGGAATTTTGCAACCCTACCTTTAACCCGGATCTGATGTCCGTCCCACAGAGATGAACAGACACCACTACTCCCTCTACATCCACAACTGCCGCCTCATTCTCCTGCTGCGCCTGGACCCCGCCGAGTCAGAGAACTACAAACCAGCCGAGTTCCACTGGAAACTGGACCAGGTGAGCAACCACACTTTGAATTTAATTTCATTTGATTTTGGACAAATTGAGATGGAACCTTGTCTTTTATTATTTACTTTGACCTCATGTCCACTCTGCTCTCTCTCTGCCCCCAGGTGTGTGACAAAGAGTGGCACCACTACGTGCTGAACGTAGAGTACCCCTCCGTGGCTCTATTTGTGGATGGGGCCACCATCGAGCCCTTCCTGGTAACCGAAGACTACCCCCTGCACTCCTCCAAGTTCGACACGCAGCTCACCATCGGGGCCTGCTGGCAAGGTAAACTAGGCACAAAGTAGCCTGGTCCCAGATCTGTTTGTGCTATCATGTCAACTCCTTGTCATGCCAAACATTTGGATTTGACATGATAGCACAAACAGATCTGGAACCAGGCTAGATGCAAAGCAAATGTTGACAATAAAAGATTATCTTAAGATATCATATTTATTAACAACAAACAGAAATTGTCAGGATGTTTTAAGATGTAATCCTTTAGCTACATTGGTTCTTTCTGGAATAGGCTGCAGGTATGTGATACATGTGGCAATGACTGCATGTATCACCAAAGACCCCAGTATTGTTTGAATTAATGTCTACTTATATGGATGGTCTAAGGAAAGAATGCTAGAATTAGGCTTTCAGTTTGAGAATGTGAGTTTTTTTGTTATATGGTGACAGTTTTTTTCCATTGATAGACACCAGTCACAGTGGTACCCGTATCAATGTGGCCATGTAATGTTCTATGTTATATACAGTGCCTTCAGAAAGTATTCAGACCCCTTCACTTTTTCCACATTTTGCTACGTTACAGCCTTATTCTAAAATAGATTAAATATTTATTTTTTTCAGCAATCTACACACAATACCCCATACTGACGAAGCGAGAACAGGTTTTTAGAATTCTTTGCAAATGTATTAAAAATAAAAAACTGAAATAACTTATTTACATAAGTATTCAGACCCTTTGCTATGAGACTCAAAATTGAGCTCAGGTGCATCCTATTTCCATTGATCATCCTTGAGATGTTTCTTCAACTTAATTGGAGTCCACCTGTGATATATTCAATTGATTGGACATGATTTGGAAAGGCTCACACCTGTCTATATAAAGTCCCACAGTTGACAGTGCATGTCAGAGCAAAAACCAAGCCATGAGGTCGATGGAATTTTCCGTAGAGCTCCGAGACAGGATTGTGTCGAGGCACAGATCTGGGGAAGGGTACGAAAAAAATTCTGCAGCATTGAAGGTCCCCAAGAACACAATGGCCTCCGTCATTCTTAAATGGAAGAACCACCAAGACTCTTCCTAGAGCTGGCCGCTCGGCCAAACAGAGCAATTGGGGGAGAAGGGCGTTGGTCAGGGAGGTGACCAAGAACCCGATGGTCACTCTGACAGAGCTCTACAGTTCCTCTGTGGAGATGGGAGAACCTTCCAGAAGGACAACCATCTCTGCAGCACTCCACCAATCAGGGCTTTATGGTAGAGTGGCCAGACGGAAGCCTCTCTTCAGTAAAAAGCACATGACAGCCCACTTGGAGTTTGCCAAAAGGCACCTAAAGGACTCTCAGACAATGAGAAACAAGATTCTCTGGTCTGATGAAACCAAGATTGAACTCTTTGGCCTGAATGCCAAGCGTCATGTCTGGAGGAAACCTGGCACCATCCCTATGGTGAAGCATGGTTGTGGCAGCATCATGCTGTGGGGATGTTTTTCAGTGGCAGGTACTGGGATACATACTAGTCAGGATCGAGGCAAAGATGAACAGAGCAAAGTAGATCCTTGATGAAAACCTGCTCCAGAGCGCTCAGGACCTTAGACTGGGGGCGAATATTCACCTTCCAACAGGACAACGACCCTAAACACACAGCCAAGACAATGCAGGAGTGGCTTCGGGACAAGTCTCTAAATGTCCTTGAGTGGCCCAGCAAGAGCCTGGACTTGAACCCGATCGAACATCTCTGGAGAGACCTGAAAATAGCTGTGCAGCAACGCTCCCCATCCAACCTGACAGAGCTTGAGAGGATCTGCAGAGAAGAATGGGAGAAACTCCCCAAATACAGGTGTGCCAAGCTTGTCACGTCATACCCAAGAAGACTTGAGGCTGTAATCGCTGCCATCGGTGATTCAACAAAGTACTGAGCAAAGGGTGTGAATACTTACGTAAATGTGATATTTCCGTTTTTGCTTTGTCATTATGGGGTATTGTGTGTAGATTGATGAGGGAAAAAGACAATTCATCCATTTTGGAATAAGGCTGTAACCTTACAAAATGTGGAAAAAGTCAAGGGGTCTGAATACTTTCCGAAGGCACTGTATAGTATGTAAAAGCTGGAAGTAGAAGCCTGAGTGTTGTTCACCATTAGTTTACTCCAACTAGGAGAGGGATGGTAGGCTTAGGGGAAAATAATAAAGGAAAAAATATATATATGGATGATTGGAAATGATACAGACAATTACATTGATGGAAGCCACAATCTATCTGCAATATTAAAGGCGATCTACCCCCTAAGAAAAAAAAAATACTTACATGAGAGCGCCAGTCACGCGGGCTTTGCTGCACATTGAAACGGCATGCTTCAAACCGCCGGCCCAGAAAAGGTCAGTCTGTAGACTTGTACGCATTGCTGACTGTGTGTGTGTGTGAATTTCTCATCCGCTCTTCGGCGGGTCCAGGCGAAAACGCTCACATGTCCCAGTTTTTTCGGGGGAATCTGGCCGGGCTGATGATCCGCTCAGGAAAGCTGGAGAACAAGGAGGTGATCGACTGCCTTTACACCTGCAAAGAGGGCCTGGACGTGCAGCTGCCTGAGGAGGTGGCATCGGCCGTCAAGGTGAGAGGTTTAGCTATAGCCTAGGGGGCTCTGGGGTGAAGTTTCCCCTAGGTACAGATCTAGGATCAGCTTCCCCTCCTACAATCCTAACCTTTACCCTTAGTGGGGGAAAGATCAGCGTCTTGGGGCATCTTCACCCTACAACGCTAAAGGGCCTCTTGGGCTAGGCAGGGCAGCACACTGCTGGTCAGTCTGGGCTTGGGTTCAGCATAGGTTCAGCATACATAGCATTCATTTCTATCTGTGTGTACAATGAGTAAACTGTCCTTTCTGAAGCAAACGTAGCAAATCATGCAAATGATTTAATCTGATAGTGTATTTGTATTTATTATGGATCCCCATACTCTTTTTGGGGTCCAGCAAAATTAAGGCATTTATACAATTTTAAAAACATTACAATACATTCACAGATTTCACAACACAATGTGTGCCCTCAGGCCCCTACTCCACCACTACCACATATCTACAATACAAAATCCAAGTGTACGTGTGTGTATAATGCATATGTTATCAAATCAAATCAAATTTTATTGGCCACATGCGCCGAATACAACAGGTGCAGACATTACAGTGAAATGCTTACTTACAGCCCTTAACCAACAGTGCATTTATTTTTAACAAAAAAAAAGTAAAGATAAGACGACAACAAAAATAGTGTTGAGAAAAAAAGAGCAGAAGTCAAATAAAATAACAGTAGGGAGGCTATATATACAGGGGGGTACCGGTGCAGAGTCAATGTGCGGGGGCACCGGCTAGTTGAGGTAGTTGAAGTAATATGTACATGTGGGTAGAGTTAAAGTGACTATGCATAAATAATTAACAGAGTAGCAGCAGCGTAAAAGGATGGGGTGGGGGGGCAGTGCAAATAGTCCGGGTAGCCATGATTAGCTGTTCAGGAGTCTTATGGCTTGGGGGTAGAAGCTGTTGAGAAGTCTTTTGGACCTAGACTTGGCACTCCGGTACCGCTTGCCGTGCGGTAGCAGAGAGAACAGTCTATGACTAGGGTGGCTGGAGTCTTTGACAATTTTGAGGGCCTTCCTCTGACAGTGATGTACTGGGCCGTACGCACTACCCTCTGTAGTGCCTTGCGGTCGGAGGCCAAGCAGTTGCCATACCAGGCGGTGATGCAACCAGTCAGGATGCTCTCGATGGTGCAGCTGTATAATTTTTTGAGTATCTGAGGACCCATGCCAAATCTTTTCAGTCTACTGAGGGGGAATAGGCTTTGTCGTGCCCTCTTCACGACTGTCTTGGTGTGTTTTGACCATGATAGTTCGTTGGTGATGTGGACACCAAGGAACTTGAAGTTCTCAACCTGTTCCACTACAGCCCTGTCGATGAGAATGGGGGCGTGCTCAGTCCTCTTTTTTTTCCTGTAGTCCACAATCATCTCCTTTGTCTTGGTCACGTTGAGGGAGAGGTTGTTATCCTGGCACCACACGGCCAGGTCTCTGACCTCCTCCCTATAGGCTGTCTCGTCGTTGTCGGTGATCAGGCCTACCACTGTTGTGTCGTCGGCAAACTTAATGATGGTGTTGGAGTCGTGCCTGGCCATGCAGTCATGGGTGAACGGGGAGTACAGGAGGGGACTGAGCACGCACCCCTGAGGGGCCCCCGTGTTGAGGATCAGTGTGGCAGATGTGTTGTTACCTACCCTTACTACCAGGGGGCGGCCCGTCAGGAAGTCCAGGATCCAGTTGCAGAGGGAGGTGTTTAGTCCCAGGATCCTTAGCTTAGTGATGAGCTTTGAGGGCGTGTGTGTGTGTGTGTGTATGCATGTGTCTGTGCCTATTTTTTGTGTTGCTTCACGGTCCCAACTGTTACATAAGGTGCATTTGTATCTGTTTTTTAAATCTAATTTTACTGCTTGCCTCAGTTACAGTGCATTCGGAAAGTATTCAGACCCATTCCCTTTCTCCATATTTTTTTACGTTAGTCTTTTGTCGTTAGTAAAGATTGAAAAAAGTAAGGGGCCTAGACAGCTGCCCTGGGGAATTCCTGATTCTACCTGGATTATGTTGGAGAGGCTTCCATTAAAGAACACCCTCTCTGTTCTGTTAGACAGGTAACTCCTTGTCCACAATATAGCAGGGGGTGTAAAGCCATAACAAAACGTTTTTCCAGCAGCAGACTATGATCTATAATGTCAAGATCTTCACTGAAGTCTAACAAAACAGCCCCCACAATCTTTTTATCATCCATTTCTCTCAGCCAATCATCAGTCATTTGTGTAAGTGCTGTGCTTGTTGAATGTCCTTCCCTATAAGCGTGTTAGGACTAAGTGCCCAAAAGATAGTCTACATTGAAATGAGTACAGCCCCAAGTCAAGAGGGGTTTTAGTCTTCTAAATTTGAATGCACTCACTGTAAGTTGTTCTGGATAAGAGCGTCTGCTAAATGTCTAAAATGTAGAATGTCGTCCGAGATGTTTGCGTCAACAGTTGGGGCTCACTATGCCATCACCTCTTCTCTTTTAGGTGGAGTTCAACCCCAACCAGTCGTCTCTGAACGTCGAAGGTGATGACATCAAGGCTTTTGACAAGGTCATGCAGCACATCTCCTACCTGAACTCACGCCAGTTCCCCACCCCTGGCATCCGACACCTCCGCATCTCCACCACCCTCAAGTGAGTGTCCCGTGCCATCAATAAAAACTTTGGCCCATATACATTTTGGGCCAGTGTCCAGAACACATATTATAGATGATGGACTATCGTTTCTCTTTGCTTATTTGAGCTGTTCTTGCCATAATGTGGACTTGGTATTTTACCAAATAGGGCTATCTTCTGTATACCCCCTACCTTGTCACAACACAACTGATTGGCTCAAACGCATTAAGAAGGAAAGAAATTCCACAAATTACCTTTTAACAAGGCACACCTGTTAATTGAAATGCATTCCAGGTAAGTACCTCATGAAGCTGGTTGAGAGAATGCCAAGAGTGTGCAAAGCTGTCATCAAGGCAAAGGGTGGCTATTTTAAGAATCTCAAATATAAAATATATTTTGATTTGTTTAACACTTTTTTGGTTACTACATGATTCCATATCTGTTATTTCATAGTTTTGATGTCTTCACTATTATTCTACAATGTAGAAAATAGTAAAAATAAAGAAAAACCCTTGAATAAGTAGGTGTTCTAAAACTTTTGACCGGTAGTGTATATTGGTGCCCAGGCTTGGTCTTAGGTGGAAGAGCCTCAATCTTCTTTTATTGATTTGATTTTCATATGTATAAATGATAAGGTTACAGATGGTTATGCAGACTTAAGAGTCTACATTGGAGAGTTGCTAGCGGGAAAAACCCCTTGTGGAACTTTACATGTTTATTTTTCGGGTGTAGTATAGTTCGGGTTCAGGGTTCATATAGTTTGTTTAGGCTCGGTGAGAATGGGGAGAGTTCAACACATGGAGAGAGTTCAACACATGGGGGAAGGTACCACCTTATCTTTAGAGTAGGATTCAGTCTGCATATTGGTTGGTCAAAGTGCAATGGCAGGTAACAGACTGTGTTTATGTACATGGAACATTAGAGAGAGCCCTAACCCTGTTAAAAGGAAAGAAGTACTATATTTTTTGAAAAAACAAAATATTGATATTGCTCTGTTGCAAGAAACTCATTTGGATGATAAGTAGCATCTGAAATTGCAACAAGGAGGGTTTGATCAAGTGCTTTTCTCATCATTTACATCCAGAAGTAGAGGTGTGGCAATTCTTCCTACCACTTAAGGTGTTGAATTGTGTGAAAGATACATTTGGTCGTTTTGTTATAATTAAAGGTACTTTAAAAAGGGCAGGACATTTCCATAATGAATATTTACTCTCCCCCCCCACCTGTTTTATCTGCTAATATAGGAAGCATAGTCATATCTGATCATGCTGAGGTGATCCTGGACATAAAACTCAAAGGGGCACCCAATCCATCAAAACATTGGAGATTGAATACAACCATTCTTAAAGACCATACATTTACATCATATTTTATTACGGAGTTTAAAGCATTTTTCTTTATTAACACTCAATCAACAGATAACCCCTTGCTCCTTTGGTAAACCTGTAAAGCGTAAGCCAGGGGTCTGATTATGTCATACTCAGCCACTAAGAGGCAGGAAAAAATGTGAAAAGCAAAAACCATTAGAGGGTGAATTGGCAACTAAAGAGAAGGACTACATAAAAATTCCCACTCCTGCCCTATTAAAGGAAATATCAGTCCTTAGATCAACGTTGGACTCTCTACTAACACAGGACGCTGAAAATAAAATGAGATTTGTCAGGCAAAAGGAAAATAGAAAGGAAAATATTTGGCGTACCTAGCTAAAAAGAGAGCAGACTCCCAGTCAATTGCTACAATTACTGATTCTGATGGCAACCATCTATATGAAAATAAATGGATAAATTAGTCATTTAAGAAATGTTATGCGAATCTTTATACCTCAGAACTGACAAATGATGCACCCAAACTAATGGAGGACTTATTTTCTAAGATTGAGCTCCTTACTATTTCCGCCAGAACAGAGGTCTCTCCTTAATACCCCTGTTACCAAGGAAGAGATAATGTTTGCAATTAAGAATCTGCAAAATGGTAGGGCCCCAGGACCGGAATGGATTTGTAGTGAGTTCTATAAGGAGTTCCATGGCCTGATCCTTGAGCCATTGCTTGATATGTTTAACCACTCATTTTCAAATGACCGCCTCCCTCAAAAGCTGAGGGAAGCTAACATCACTTATTCTCAAAAAAGGAAAATGCCCAGAGTCTTGTTCCTCGTACAGACCTATTGCTCTTCTGAACGTGGATAGGAAATTACTTTCTAAAATCCTAGCCCCGAGACTTCAATTACATCTCTTGTTAATATTATTGAATTATTCAGTGAATTATCAGGCTACAAGATTAATCTAACTAAATCAGAGGCTATGCCACTTGGTAGTCTTCACTCTGGTAACTCTCCCCCCTTTCCTTTTAAATGGTCTCCCTCAGGTTTTACGTATCTGGGTATATTCGTAACTCCTAAATACCAACAAATGACCAAACCAATTTTGTTCCCTTGTTTGATACAATAAGACAGGATCTGGAGCGCTGGAACTCTCTTCTGATTTCATGGTTGGGTAGAATATCCCTCTTGAAAATGAACATTTTACAGAGACTACTTTACCCAATCCAAATGATCCCAGTCTTACTTTCCAATAACGTAATAAAATATTGAAATGGCTGGTTAAGTTCCTTCATATGGAGTTAAACGCAAGCCAAGACTTAAGATGGCAATGTTGCAGCTGCCAGGTTATATGGGGGGCTTGGATCTGCCCAATATAAGGTTTTATCAGTGGTGTGCCCACTTATGTTATATTTCTGACTGGATCACAAATTATGACTCCTCTATTTGGTTAGACATTGAGACATATTTTTCAAAATACCCCTTGCAGGATATTTTATTTTTCAGAAGCTTCAAGTCTGTAAAAGATCACTGCAATAATCCCATTACAGGTCAGTTCAACGTTTTTTGGGAAGGTCCAAACTAACCTCTGCTCTTACCCCGATTCTTAACAACCCAGATTTTGTACCAGGATTGCTGGATGCTGACTTTAACATTTGGCTTAATAAGGGCAAAGGCAGTCCCTCAACCTGATCAAGACAAAGGAAATTATTATGGACTACAGGAATAAAAAGAGGACTGAGCACGCCCCCATTCTCATCAACAGGGCTGTAGTGGAACAGGTTTAGAGCTTCAAGTTCCTTGGTGTCCACATCACCAACAAACGTTGTGAAGAGGGCACGACAAAGCCTATTCCCCCTCAGGAGACTGAAAAGATTTGGCATGGGTCCTCAGATCCTCAAAAAGTTATACAGCTGCACCATCGAGAGCATCCTGACTGGTTGCATCACCGCCCGGTATGGCAACTGCTCGGCCTCCAACCGCAAGGCACTACAGAGGGTAGTGCGTACGGCCCAGTACATCACTGGGGCCAAGCTTCCTGCCATCCAGGACCTCTATACCAAGCGGTGTCAGAGGAAGGCCCTAAAAATTGACTGTTCTCTCTGCTACCACACGGCAAGCGGTACCGGAGCGCCAAGTCTAGGTCAAAAAGGCTTCTTAACAGCTTCTACCCCCAAGCCATAAGACTCCTGAACAGCTAACCAAATGGCTACCCAGACTATTTGCATTGCTGCTGCTACTCTCTGTTTATTATCTATGCATAGTCAAATTACCTCTACCTACATATACATATTACCCCAATTACCTCGACTAACCTGTACCCTCGCAGATTGACTCTGTACCGGTACCCCCTGTATATAGCCTCGTTACTGTTATTTTATTGTTGCTCTTTAATTATTTTTCATTTTTATTTATTTATTGTTTACTTTTATTACTGTTTATTTAGTAAATACTTTCTTAACACTTATTTTTTCTTAAAACTGCATTGTTGGTTAAGTGCTTGTAAGTAAGCATTTCACTGTAAGGTCTACACCTGTTGTATTCAGTGCATGTGACAAATACAATTTGATTTGAATACTTATTGACTCAAGACATTTCAGCTTTTCATTTTTCAGTAATTTGTACGTTTTTCTAATTCCATTATGGGGTATTGTGTGTAGGCCAGTGATACACACTGTCAGTTTAATCAATTTTAAATTCAGGCTGTGACACAACAAAATGTGGAAAAGGTCAAGGGGTTTGAATACTTTCTTTAAGGCACTGTACCTTGATTGCCTGAGTTCTGTCATTGAGATAATTATGAAACCATCGGCAAGCATCAGTACACAACCCTATTGAGGACAGCTTATTCAACAGAATAACATGGTCTATAGTATCAAAAGCTTTTGACAAGGCTACAAACATAGCAGCACAATTCTGTCTATCATCTAAGGCATTTGCAATATCATTTACAACAAGCATGGTAGCCGTAAAGGTGCTATATTTAGGTCTGAATCCGGTTTGATAAACATTAAGAATACCATTTACAGATAGAAAATAACGTAGCTGTTCTAGTATTTTTGCAAGACAAAGGAGCCTGCAAGTGGTTTGATAATTATCGAGATCACTACTATCCCCGCTCTTATGGAGTGGTAGCACAAAAGCTGCTTTCCACACTTTTTGAATATTTCTTGATACTAAAGTTAATAGTAAAGTTAAATGTAAAATGTGTGTTACTGAGCCAGCAAAGACAGGTCCAAATTGTCAGCCCCTAATGACTTCTTGGTGTCAATAGTTAATAAGGCAAAAATAACTTATGTTTCTGTGAGTTGCCAAAAAGAAAAACCCTGACTACCATTTCCCAAGTTACTGATCATACAGCGAGGCAACTGGAGGCTGTATGTGGGAAGAACAGTCAACTGACTGGCCAAGACCAGTATGACCACCATTTCTTTCAAATAGGAAACCAGCTGAGATAAAATGCTGATTAAAAGCATCACAAATCTTAACTTTTTCAGTAATGATGCAGGAGTCTAAAACTACTTGATTAAGCAGGGAAGTAGAGGAATTACCCCATTTTAAGTGAATTAACTGTTTTCTAGAATTTTGATCAATAACAGTCTGCCTTAGCACTAAGGAAGTAGTTTGATTTGGCCTGTTTATCCAAAGCAGTGCACCTATTTCTCAGTGAAAGATGATGACATTTAAATGGTAAATTACTGACATGTTTAAAAGGTGTTGCTTTACACTATTACTTTACACAATTTATTCGAATAGAATACAAAAAGCAGAACAGAAAGGTAAAATGGACCTGTCTTTTCCAAAGGGAATTCAACATGAAAGGTAGACTGGAAAGGTAAGACAGAGGTGAAAAGAATGAAACACAGCTTCAAGTGATGCAAACTGTTTTAAAGCCTAGTTCCACAGTATTTCCAATAAAATGGTTCCCTGCAAATTAAACACATTTCTATACTAAGTTTAAAAAATGACATTTTGATTGTCATGGCTAATCTGAAACCGTTGGCTCGCTAGGTGTTTCAACGAGGAGACGTGCATCTCGGTGCCAGACGCGGAGGGATACGTGATGGTGCTGCAGCCTCAGGAGCCCAGGATCAGCCTGAGTGGCATCGACCACTTTGCCCGCGGCACCGCTGACTTCGAGAGCCCCAAGGGCGTGACGCTCTTCCCCGAGCTGCGCATCGTCAGCACCATCACCCGCGAAGTGGAGGCCGATGACGAGCCCGAGGCCTCCGAGGGGGCCGAGGACGACCCCACAGGTACTAAGCCGTGCCACCCTACTGTAGATCGTACCATCTTACTGTAGATCGTACCATCTTACTGTAGATCCTACCATCTTACTGTAGATCCTACCACCTTACAGTAAAGGGGTGTTTCTAAACCTTCTAACTGGCAAGCTATGGTCCCTCCCCCTTGGAGTATCCCCTTACATTAAAACTAACACTTGAGGGGCCTCCCGAGTGGCTCAGCAGTCTAAGGCACTGCATTGCAGTGCTTGAGGCATCACTACAGACCCGGGTTCGTCATAGCCGGCCGTGACCGGGAGACCCATGAGGCTGCGCACAATTGGCCCAGCGTCGTCCGGGTTAGGGGAGGGTTTGGCCGGCCGGGACTTCCTTGTCCCATCGCGGTCTAACGACTCCTTGTGGCGGCCACGCCATCTGGACTGTGTTTCCTCCGACACATTGGTGTGGCTGGCTTCTGGGTTAAGCGAGCCGTGTGTCAAGAAGCAGTGCGGCTTGGCAGGGTCGTGTTTCGGAGGACGCATGGCTCTCGACCTTCGCCTCTCCCGAGTCCGTAGTTGCAGCGATGGGACAAGACTTAATCACGAAATTGGGGAGAAAAAAGTGGTAAAAGTACCAACAAAAAAAATACTAACACTTGAGAACTGACTTGAACTGTCAGTCAGCCAACCATCTCCGGAACCAGTCGGTATCATCCCAGGGACCGGTGGCTGTCCACAAACCAGAGGTTGGCTTTAGATACTATGGTAAATAGGGCTTAGAGGTCTACTACCACTGTTACCTACCTACACTTCTGTTCTCCTTACCTCTCTCAGGTTGATAAACAATGTACAGGACATCATGGGCTAGTTTCCCAGACACAGATTAAGCCTAGTCCTGGACTGAAAAGCTTTCTGGGAACCTTTTATTTTCCTGGTATTTAGCAGGTTGTTACCTCGAAATTACTAATCCATTGTTACCTCCAAGTTTCTTTAGTAAATACCATGTAAATACCACCTTAAATCGGGCTGTAAAGTAAAGCGTAACCAGCATCCTCAATGGACAATGTCCATTGAAAGTATGTTTTAGTCTAGGACTAGTTTTTAATTTGAGTTTGGCTACCAAGCCTAAAAAAGCCCTCTTAAGAAGCCTCACATGATCAGATCAGTTTTTATGAAAAGGACAAAAGAAACTGCACACTATATAATCCGTGTACCACATTTTACGTTTTGATCCACAGTGGCTCTTTGTCAGGTCAAACAGTATTTAAGTGTACACATACCCATAAATCCACATGACCATTATGCCACTGTCCAACATGAGCATTCACGCATGACAGATACAATTTCAGGCAAGAATTATTCATGCTTCTTCATTTGTCTACGCATTCTTCATTCATCTATGATTGCATTTTAATTGAAAACTCCAGTTTGGCTAAAATGGATGCTTTGTCCCAAGTCTTCTCATCATCTCTCTCTTTCTTGTTCTCGTTCTCTCTCTCATTCTCTCCCTCTCTGGAAAGTGTTACCACATAAAGTACATTGCCACAGAAAACATATAGAAACATGAAATCAATGATGGAAATACACCAGTAGAAAAATACAAATATTTTATCTTCTCTGTCAGTTCAAGAGACTGTGGTGTCGGAGGAGATCATGCACAACCTGGACACGTGCGAGGTGACTGCTCTGGACGAGGAGCTGGATGGAGAGCATGAGACCCTGGAGGTGGACCAGGCCCAAGTCCAGCAGCGTGGCCTGGAGATGACTTCCTCCAACCTGGGCCTCGTCCTGACAGGTCTGTCTAGGATGGCTAGGCTAAGCTAGGCTAGGCTATGTTTGGCTATGGTAGACTAGGCTATGCTAGTATAGGCTAATCACAATAGCATTCAGGCACAGCCACACAGACGCAATCCATATGTATAATGGACATGCAAAGCCTACATTCATACATATAGCCGCGCATGTGCACCAGGTGTCACGCACCCACATGTATGCACATATTCTACTTCTATTGGCTACTAGCAAAAATACACACACTAGGCATACATACACTCACATTCTACATGACTACTGTAGCAACTTTTCATTCACCACAATGCATCAAAACCTATCCTTCCTTTAGCTACATGTTCCCTCCCTAATGCTACCTCCTCTCCCTGTCACAGGCATAAACACCATGGCCAACTACGAGCAGGTCCTGCAACTGATCCACTACAGGAACTGGCACACGGAGGCTCTCTTTGACAGGAAGTTCAAGCTGGTCTGCTCCGAACTCAACGGGCGCTACATCAGCAACAACTTCAAGGTCGAGGTATGACTGAGCGTTTACTGTCTATACCTCACCTATAGGGCTACTGCTGTCACTTGTTCAGTATAGAGATGGATGTATGGACAATAATCCCTAGTCACAGTGTTTGGGGATATTAACCCTTTGTAAATTGTAAACAACAAGTGAGGAAGTAAACAACAATATGTAACAAGTTGTTTTTCCCATGGAAAAGGTTTGGTAATATTTCATTAACCCTTGAATACATTAGATAGGGAAAGGGGATATCTAGTCAGCTGCACAACTGAATGAATTCAACGGAAATGTCTTCCGCATTTAACCCAGCCCTTTGTGAATCTGTGATCTGTCACACTCTGGACACTCTCTCTTTCTTTCTGTCACTCTTTCGCTCTCTCTCTCTCCCTCTCCATCTCTCTCTTTCTCTGTGCGTGCATGTGCCTACCCCCAGGTCAACGTGATCCACACAGCCAACCCCATGGAACACGCTAACAATGTCAAGGTTCAGCCAAACTTCATCAACCCAGTGCAACACGCCTCTGTGGACCTGTCTGGACACAACCTGGTCAACGCTCACCAGGCCTCAGGTACACCACTAATGCTAACCCAGCTTGTTAGCCTGTGTGAATAATTAGCTTATTTGGACTAGCTGCCCTATATAAATCATAAGCACACAATTTACACAAACCCTCGATTTAATTAAAACCGCAAAACGGAAGCCTCCGGCGTGCTGTGTCAATAGTCTGTCTCAGTCCACACAGAAGCACAGTTAAAATGTACATAAATATAGATGTATTTTGTATTGATTTAATAATCCAAACGTCCCTTTTTTTGCTTCACGTGGTGAACACGGTTTTATGGCAATCGGAAAAGGTCTGGATGCTGCCTTGAATTGAATAGTATTCCATAGATTTATAATACCGGAAACACTGTTTCCGGGTCACGCATGGTGGAGTAGACACCATACAATTCCAGCTAATCTTGATTCAGTTATGCTGATAAAATACCATATACTTAAATTACTTTTATTACTTGACCTTCTTTACACAATGCTTGAAGGGATACTTCGGGATTATGGCAATGAGGCCCTTTTTCTACTTCCCTAGAGTCAGTTGAACTTGTGGATACCATTTTTATGTCTCTGTGTCCAGTATGAAGGAAGTTAGAGTTAGTTTCACGAGCCAATGCTAACTAGCATTAGTGCAATGACTGGAAGTCTATGGGCATCTACTAGCATGATTTATGGGTTCACAAACTGAAACACTTTTTTTTTTTTTTTTTATAACTGTAGGCTATACCCACAGAGACTTGATTTTTTTGGTTGATAGACTTCCAATGAATGACTCAACACTATCACACTATTTGACTCACAAATTGACTCTTTTTAAAAAAAAAATTTCACATTTTCTGCCATACTCATGTCCTACAACAACAGCAGATCCCAACAAACAAAATTACGTTCTGGGAACGTGTAGACCCATATTGTATTTTATCTTTTTGTTGTTTAAATGTTTATCTATATGCTGAGGACCGAATTACTTCCAATGACTATATACTTGTATACGTTTTGTTGTTGTTGTTGTTTTTCTCTCTGCCCAATAACAGTAGGCTATACCCAGCAAACCACAAAACATTCTAGGAACGTCAAATGAGTTGTTTATCTTCCTTAATTATGTTGAAACATTCATCCACGCTATAGGCTGAATGCCTTTAACACTAGTACCACTAAAGCAGTCATTTTGACTGCTCATTATTTAATTGTTTTACTCTGCCTTTTCTTAAGTCATGCCCCCCTCCGTCCTTGACTTTCCCTAAATAAGTCTATATAACACACTGTCGGTGTTAGAATCTTAATATCACAAACAGAACTGGAGTTATAACCAGTTTTAGGAGTGGTTGAGTTTCCCCCGTTGCCCCTCCTTCCGACAGTTGAAAGTGCAGTGCCCAGCTGATAATCACCCCGATAATTGCCTCGAAACTGAACCTAAACTATACCGAAACTAATTTCACACATACAACAACAGATTATATAGATTAAGTAAAGTATGATGGGGAGAAAGGGGGAGAATGGGTGAGTTGATGAGTGAGGGGAAGCGAACAATGCATTATTATGTAATCACCAGAGCATGCGTAATTGTACATGCTGAACAGCTTTCAAAATATCCACATCGGGCAGCAGGTGAGAGAGTGTCGGAGAATGTGGTGATGAGGCTTGTGTAACTTTGCATTGGAAAAGGGAGAAAATGTCACCATGGACAATTTCTTCACTTCACTGTCATTGGTGAATGAGTTGCTTGCAAAAAAAATAAAAAATCTGGCCTGCACCATGAACAAAGTGAGACGGGAGCCCCCTCCCTCTGTACAAAATAAGGCAATAAAGAGAAAACCTGAGACTATTATGCACTACAACCAAACATAGGTATATCAAAGTGTGTCAAGCAAGTGAAAGTTACGACAATTGTGTCAACTGTTAGGACAAGGGATAACAGCTAAATGAAATCCAACTGATGCCATTGCGTGAAGACGCGCACAAGCTGACAATAATCAACTATTTTTGACTGTCATATCGACACTTATATTAATTATAATGCCATTTTTGCTTTTGTGCTGAGTTTTACTATTTATCAAGGCCACTTGGCGCTTATAATGATGTGTAGGCTACTAATGTTTTCATCATTTGACCGCCCGCCTTTTGACCGTGCGTCTTGGTGGTTGGGTATTTCGTTTTTTGTTTTGTCTTATAAAGAGAAGCTGTTACCGTGTTCCTACATATACTTTCTGTTTCATAGTTGTAACAAAAGCACTTCACGAATAAAATGGATTGAACAGTTGGTATTTTGTATTATTTTTTACAAATTGTCTACAGTAACATAAATTAATGAAAATGCTATTGTGTTATTTTAAATAAAATAAAAATCATATTATAATGTTCGTAAACGCAACCAAATTATTATTTTTGCAATAGCAAATATGAAATATATTAATTACACTGTTAGAATGTTGCAGTCAGAATGACTGCGCATTAGCTTGAAGGGGGGGTCCGTAGAGGCCCAGCAGTTCTAGTCTTAATAATTAAATGACTCAATACCCATAGAACCCAGAGACATACACTGATGCGCTGGTTCAAAGACTTCCAATGACCCAATACTATCACACTGTTTGACTCATAAATTGACCTTTATTTTTTTCTTCTTTATTTCTACCATGCTCATGTCCTACAACAAGAACAGTTCCCAGCAAACAAAATGACGTTCTGGGAACGTGTAGACCCATATTTATGTTGTTTTACCTTTCTGTTGTTGAAATGTTAATCTAACATACGAGGCCGACGTGAGAAGGGTCTTTAATCAGGTCAACACTCGCAAGGCCGCGGGCCCCGACCGTATTCCAGTGTGCTTTCTCAGAGCATGCGCAGAACAGCTGGCAGGCATATTCACGGTAATTTTCAACCTCTCCTTGTCCCAGTCTGTAATCCCCACGTTTTAAGATGACCACAATCCTATCTGTTCCTAAGAACTCTAAGGCTTCATGCCACAATGACTACCGCCCTGTAGCACTCACTTCTGTAATCATGAAGTGCTTTGAGAGGCTGGTTATGGCATAAATTAACTCCACCATCCCAGCCACCCTATACCCACCCAAATTTGCATACCGCCCCAACAGATCCATAGACGACACAATCTCAATTGCTATCCACACTGCCCTCACCCACCTAGATAAGAGGAATACCTACGTGAGAATGCTGTTCATTGACTACACCCAGCGTTCAACACCATTGTCCCTCCAAGCTTGTCACCAAGCTTAGGACTCAGTGCCTCTTCCCCCTCAGGAGGTTGAAAAAGTTTGGCATGGGCCCTCAAATCCTAAAAAGGTTCTACAGCTGTGCCATTGAGAGCATATTGACTGGCTGCATCACTGCTTGGTATGGCAATAGCACCGCCCTCGATCGCATGGCGCTATAGAGGGCTGTGTGGACAACCCAGTACATCACTGGAGCCAAGCTCCCTGCCATCCAGGACCTCCATATCTGGCGGTGTGAAAAGAAGGGTGGGAATTTTTTTAAAGACTACAACCACCCAAGCCATAGACTATTTTCTCTCCTGCCGCATGGCAAGAGGTACCGGTGCATCACATCTGACAAAAACAGGCTCTTGAACAGCTTCTATCCCCAAGCAATACGGCTAAAAAAATAGCTACACGTAATATCTGAGTTAACCTTGTGTCTTTATTGACCTTTTATTTCATATTTTGCACGGTCTCTATGCACACTCACAGGGCCCTACACACTCACACATACTGTCACTCCAACACACACACACACAAACACTCACTGCATTATTTGCTAACTAACACATAATATGCACATACATTTATACCGACCACACACCCACTCACATATAAGCTTTTGCAACTCTGTTTATCTTATATCATGTTGCCTAGTCCCCTTACCCCTATACATATCTACCTCTGTCACTCCAGTATCCCTGCACATTGTAAATGTGACCCACCGCCTGGATTCGGTCCTACAGTATGTATAAAAATGTGAAAGTGTTTTTTACATCGGATAAAAGTAGAGACTCTGAGCTATAAAATGGTATATCATACACTGCAGTTGAGGAACAATTAGAAAGTAATTCTGCTTTGAAAGTTGATAAACTTGTAACCCCACTTTTGAGAAAATCATCTTTGTCTACACCCATTCAGCATCGTTCACACCCTCTTAAGTCTTAGCCCCACCCATCTCTTTAAGAATTGACAGTGTAGTAAACAACCAAAGACTAAAAGTGGTGAAAGTAGTAGCAAAAAGGAGTAGTAAAAATGTATCTAGTCCATGGCCTACAGTGCATTCGGAAAATATTCAGACCCCTCCCTTTTTCCACATTTTGTTACCTTACACCCTTTAAATAAATAAAAAATATCATCAATCTACACACAATACCCCATAATGACAAAGCGAAAACGGGTTTTTCGAAATGTTTGCAAATGTATTCAAAATAAAAAACAGGTACCTTATTTACATAAGTATTCAGACCCTTTGCTATGAGACTCGAAATTGAGTTCAGGTGCATCCTGTTTCCATTGATCATCCTTGAGATGTTTCTACAACTTGATTGGAGTCCACCTGTGGTAAATTCAATTGATTGTACATGATTTGGAAAAGCACACGCCTGTATATATAAGGTCCCACAGTTGACAGTGGATGTCAGAGCAAAAACCAAGCCATGAGGTCAAAGGAATTGTCCGTAGAGCTCCGAGACAGGATTGTGTCGAGGCACAGATCTGGGAAAGGGTACCAAAAAATTTCTGCAGCATTGAAGGTCCCCGAGAACACAGTGGCGTCCATCATTCTTAAATTGAAGAAGTTTTGAACCACCGAGACTCTTCCTAGAGCTGGCCGCACGGCCAAACTGAGCAATCGGGGGTGAAGGGCCTTGGGCAGGGAGGTGACCAAGAACCCGAGGTCCTCTTTGGAGATAGGAGAACCTTCCAGAAGGACAACCATCTCTGCAGCAATCCACCAATCAGGCCTTTATGGTTGAGTGGCCAGACGGAAGCCACTCCTCAGTAAAAGGTGCATGAGAGCCCGCTTGGAGTTCGCCAAAAGGCACCTAAATGAGAAACAAGATTCTC